ATTTTGCAGGTTTGTGCATGGCAGAAAATGTGGTTTGACTAAATTAATTTGACTAAATAAATAATTTGATCAACTGAACTTCATTGATTCAGTTGTTCAGCTTGTCTGAATGTCACCCATGCAAACTATTTAGGAAAATACAAAAATATGTGTAGATTAGAGATCTTGTTAGACAATGTGTTTACATGTTTGTAAAAGAAGAATGAGAACCAGAAGAAGGCACTACTAGAGTTACCATGGTTAGCAAAGGTTAAGAGAATGGTAGGGAGGCCAAGTGCATCAAAGGTAGCAGAGAAGACAAGATGGATTAGGATGGTGCTGTGTTGCGTCTTCTTTTTTATCAATACATGAGAAGTAATGTCCAAGGCAAGTGTAGGTTGACAAATGGAGCATGTTATGAAAGAGAAATAAAAAAATATATATAATTGAAGTGTCCACAGGACAATACAGAATTCAGGAATACACTTATTTTAATCAAACATACCAAAATGGATGACCTGCATTCTTGTGTGCGATGTCAGAAAGGATGTGGCAATAATAGGTTAGAATGATTATGTTTACTGTCAGTGAGTTTTAGTGAAAAACTGAAACTACATTGATATTATTATTAGTAGTAGTATTAGTATTATTCAGTGAGATTTATGTAATTATGCCTGTATGTGTTAATATATAATATGATTTAGAAGCACTCACGAGGATTATTACATTAGCATTAGTGGTCCTATTTTTACCTAACATATAGCTTGCAAAAGCAGACTTGTGTTTTAAAACAACGCCTGTGATAAGTAAGATAGAGAGACAACAAAATCAGAGAATATCTGATTTGTGGTCTTAAAGGACCACTATAGGCACCCAGACCACTTCAGCTCAAGTTAGTAGTCTGGGTGCCAGGTCCCTCTAGTTTTAACCATGCAGCTGTAAACATAGCAGTTTCAGAGACTGCTATGTTTACAGTGAGGGTTAATCCAGCCTCTAGTGGCTGTCTCACTGACAGCCACTAGAGGCCGCGTCCCCGATTCTCACTGTGAAAATCACAGTGAGAAGATGCTGACGTCCATAGGAAAGCATTGAGTAATGCTCTCTTATGGGCAGTTTAAATGTGCATTCGGCTCTGACGTCAGCAGGAGGAGGAGAGGTTACCAGCTCCGAGGGAGCCTGGCGCTGGAGAAAGGTAAGTGGCTGAAAGGGTTCTAACCCCTTCAGCCCAGCGGGAGGGGGTCAATGAGGTTGGGGGCAAAAGGACTCCATAGTGCCAGAAAAACGAGCTTGTATAGTGGTCCTTTAAATTGGGTCAATGACGCAAAATAGGCATAATCCCAAATAGAATATACAGTTGCAAGAAAAAGTATGTGAACCCTTTGGAATGATATGGATTTCTGCACAAAATGTCATAAAATGTGATCTGATCATCATCTAAGTCACAACAATAGACAATCACAGAAGACCAAGGTGATTTGCATGACTGGCAGCAACCTAACACGCCATATTCAGTTTCAACATTAAACCAACACCTCCAATCTCATCTCATTGATTGGACTCCAGTTGGCTGACATCTCACTCCAATTAGCTCTTGGAGATGTCATTAGTCTAGGGGTTCACATACTTTTTCCACCTGCACTGTGAATGTTCACATGGTGTGTTCAATAAAAACATGGCAACATTTCATTCTTTGTGTGTTATTAGTTTAAGCAGACTGTGATTGTCTATTGTTGTGACTTAGATGATGATCAGATCACATTTTATGACCAATTTGTGCAGAAATCCATATCATTCCAAAGGGTTCACATACTTTTTCTTGCAACTGTATTAGAAAAAGACAAATAAGGTAAAGAACCTACCTCAAAGATGAAGGGGCCAGTCTTACTAAAATTACCTCTTAATCAATCATTCAAAGGTAATAGCTAGAAAAGATATATATATATATTGTAAGAAGTCCTTGCACTCAGGCTATAAACATAAGTACCTGCCTGGTGCTCAGCCTGGGGCTTTAATATCCAGAAAGTAGTAAGAATGGCAGCACTCACGGTCTTCAAATAAAACTTCTTTATTCAGCAAGGTTAAAACGTAGGATCAACGTTTCAGTCCCTCTCTGGGACTTTCATCAGGATCAATACAGTGCATTAAAATAAAATTCACAATATATAGGAGACACAATTAAGAAAAGAAACAATAAGGAAAAAACTAACTCAACCCAGGTGATTTGCATGACCGGCGGCATCTAGGCGAACTCTGTGCGCATGTGCAACCAAACTACCACCTCCAGAAGTGACGTGCACATTATGTTTACGGTAACCGTGGTTACCATTAGTGCTGTGTGCATCTACGTGCAACAGGTCTTGTGCGCATTTGTAACCCGTGCTGCTGCTGAATGAAAGGCTTGCTATGAAGATATGAACACTCAGCGATTGTTACCATAGTGATAACACCATGGCAACCTAACACGCCATATTCAGTTTCAAAATTAAGCCTGTAGACAAAAGTGCTGTGCAGTGTGTAAGCTACATAATGGTTAACCCTTGATTAACCATAAGGGTTAATATCTCGGTTTAAAGTGCAATAACATAGAGGTGGAATTTGAATGGATGAATGAAATAAAAGTGACTTGGTGCATAATTTGATAATCTTAAGTGAAGCCACTATGCAGGGTGGAGATTTAAAGGAAAATAATTTTATAATTTTTATAAGAATTTTAATATTTGTTAATAAAGTGCTGTACTCAATACAAAAAGTAAAAGAGAAAGGGATTATCTAAATCCCAAGGTTGAGGTGATGTTTTCAAAATGCAAAGTGACAAAGTGCATAATATGAAAAGTGCTTATGGTGCTATGATAAAGTGCTAATAAGATAAAGTGCTATGTGAAACATAAGAGGAAAAAAAAAAAATTACAAAATCATAAATATATATGTACAATTACATTTCATATCTCCTACACTGATACTGAACTAAATTAAGAGATTTGTTACAAAAAAACTTAGACAGCTCAATTTAGTTACATTATCCAAATAATGCTAGGAAAATGAAGATTCTTTACTTCAATAATACTTCTTGTTTAAATCAATTGATATTTTTGCCTACAAAATTAGTGGGGTGCACTTCATATCTGAGAGTCAAATAGAATTGTCAAATGCTGCTGTCACATTGAAGTTTTAAAACTTCAAATTTTTTGGGTCCTAAACTGCTAAATAGTATTTTAGTGGGGTGCACTTCATATCTGAGAGTCAAATAGAAGCGTCTAATAGTGTGCTTACAGCACAGTGGTAAACATTCTTATTTTCTGGGTCCTAATCGACTAAATAGTACATTTTGGGGCGTGCACTTCATATCCGAGAGTCAAATAGAAGCGTCTAATAGTGTGCTTACAGCGCAGTGGTAGGCATTTTTATTTTCTGTGTGCTAATCTGCTAAATAGTACATTTTGGGGCATGTGCTTCATATCTGAGAGTCAAATAGAAGCGTCTAATAGTGCGTTTACAGGGCAGTGGTAAACATTCTTTTTTTCTGGGTGCTAATCTGCTAAATAGTACATTTTGTGGCCTGCTCTGCATATCTGAGAGTCAAATAGAAGCGTCTAATAGTGTGCTTACTGCACAGTTGTAAACATTTTTGAATTGTTTTGCTGCTAATCTGCTAAATAGTAAATTTTGGGGCCTGCGGTGCACTTCATATCTGAGAGTCAAATAGAAGCGTCTAATAGTGTGCTTATTGCGCAGTTGTAAACATTCTAATTGTTTTGCTGCTAATCTGCTAAATAGTACATTTGCGGCCTGCGGTGCTCTTCATATCTGATAGTCAAATAGATAGCGTCAAATAGTGCGCTTACTGCGCAGTTGTAAACATTCTAATTGTTTTGCTGCTAATCTGCTGCTTACATTGGAGTTTTAAAAAGTCATTTTTTTTATTTTTTTTTGTGCTAAATAATATATTTGGGGTGTTCACTTCATATCTGAGAGTCAATCAAATCGTAACTTTGATTCAAATTTACTACATCGGTCACTTGTAATATTGTTTCACACCTACAACACTTGTTACACAGATCTAAGTGATAGAAAATAGATTGATATTTTCTACACTAGAAACTACCAGATAACAAGCTGCTATATTTAAACCAGTGATCAATAGCTAAGAGGTACTTCAACAATATTGTAATTCTGGGGCAATACCCTCACAAGTCAAACTGAGAGGTCAGTTTATAGGGAAAACTGTTGCCTAGAGGAAATTCTAAAACAATTTCCATATGTCCTTTGCAGACTTTACATTCTGGAAAAACACAGGTGCCAACTGCTGTGTCTTTCTGCAGTGTGCATACCGGCAAGGAGGGCAGGGTTGAGGAAGATGATGTGGAGGATGATAAGGTTGTAGACCCCACATGGAATCAAGGTCATGCGAGTGACGTGTGCAGTTTGGAGGAAGAGGCGCTGGTCACAGAAAGGCACCAGCACAGCATAAGAGGGAGCAGGGTGCAGAAGCGGAGCGGCCATCCCCTGGCACTTGTCGGCATGTATTAGCTCGAGAATTACCAGTTATCCAAGTAATACATGTAGCGATAAAAGAATCCATAATAGACTTGAGCGAACCCGAACTGCAGAGCTCGGGTTTGTACCAGATTTAATGATCCATTCGTAGTTTCACAATGAGGTGGGCAGTCCGGTGACCAGGACCCAGACACTGTCTGGGCGGCGGTCGGACGACCGGGACCCAGTATGCCTGATGTTAAAGTTAGGAGTCAAAGTGTGGAATGGATTAGCAGGGTCTGGTGCAGGGTAACCGCATGCCCCATGGTGTTAAACACCAGCGTTTGTGCGGCCACATACTAGGACCCTGATGCAGCTTCAGTAAAAAGAGTACTTGATACCAGAAGCCATCACCAGACTGATCCGCAACTTGGAACAGGATGTGACATTCACTGTAGCGGCTGTGTGCGCTTTTGGCATTGTCACCCTGCTGCTGCTCGTCTGTCTGCGCTGTAGCGTAACTTCGGCCTTCCTGCTCACCGCCTCATATTGAAGTTTTAGCTGCAGCACGCACGGGTCAGTGGCTCTGAACCAGACTTCCCTCCAATTGATAAGAGTTAAAGGATTTCAAGTGGACTCATTACAATTACAGGGCCTCTAAAGAGTCCTGTATTGTTATTTGTCGTCACTACCTTCCCGCATCGGGAGTGGGTCATTTGCGCGCCTGCTGCCTTCCTTGCATGTGGTAGCCGTTTCTCAGGGTCCCTGTATGGAATGGAACACTGATTCCCCATTACCCGTGGTCACTAGTGATGTCGCGAACCGTCCGCGAACTCCGGTCAGCTGACACATCCCTGCCAATCTCCGGCAGAACCTCCCTCCCAGACCCTCCTACTTCCTGGACAGCATCCATGTTGAAGGCAGTCACACGCACAATTACAGGCAGACTATAGCACAGTTACAGGCAGCATCACACAGTCACAGGCAGACAGTCACACACAATCAGTGACATGCAGACAGTCTCACACACACAGTTACAGGCAGACAGACACACACACAGTCACACACAGTTGCAAGCAGACAGTCACACACACAGTCACAGGCTGAAAGTCACACACTGGCACCTTCAAACAGTCACACACTCAGGCACAGGCAGGCACTGATACACACAGTTACAGGCAGACGGTCACATACACAGTCACAGGTAGACAGTTTCACACACACAGTTACAGGAAGACAGTCACACACACACACACAGTCACAGTTAGACAGTTACACACATAGTAAAAGGCAGTCACAAACAGTCACAGGCAGTCAGTCACACACACAGTCACAGACAGACAGTCGCCCACACAGTAACACGCAGACAGTCACAGGCACACAGTCACAGATGCAGTCCCAGGCATACAGTCACAGGCATACAGTCACAGATACAGTCACAGGCAGACAGTCACACATACAGTCACAGGCAGGCAGACACAATCACAGTTACACACACACACTCTCTCCCACTTACTGGAGGAGGAGTGGCGTCACTGAAGTTCCTGGTCTTTAGTTGTTGGAGAAGCAGGGACTCCTTCCTGCTTCCCATCTAACTCCGCCCCACTGCCATTTTGACTCCGCCCCCACTGTAGATTTGGCTCCACCATCAACTCTCCGTGCAGTACTCCTGCTCCCGGCCCCTGCGTGTGTGAGCTGTGTTGGCTGCCTGGAACCCGTACTGCCATGGCGCCCTGTGCAACCACACAGCTCCTGAAGGCTAGCTCTTGTGGCACCACCTTACCTTGTAGCAACCAGTGCGAACTGCCCTCACCCCCCGTCTTTAGTACGCCAATGCCCCCATGGCATTTCTTTAGGAGTCTTGAAGTAGGTTATCTAGTCTATTTCTGGGAGACCTCACATGCTTTTGATTCTCTCCGGAAGGTTTAACTGACGTATTCCATGTTACATCTACAGGTAAGTAGGTATACCAGGCCAGCCATATTGCAATTAAAAAAGTGCTTCATTTTAAAGGTTTGATTTCCTTCACTTTCAGCCACCTTTTTGGAGTTACGCTGGAAATATATGCCTGTGACACATCTCCTACATTGGTATGTGCCATGGGGGGGGAGTGCCCAGCCAGTTGCTTATTGGACCTGTTTTCAGTTGTATGTGGCTTGGGACTAGAATGTCTCTGAAGACCTCCCTCAAATTAATGTAATTTGTCAAAATTGACCAAAATCTTTGGATGCAATCATTCGAATAGTTTTGTTTTTGGTAGTTTCATCAGTTGGACGGTCCTCCAGTAGAACATCCCTATCAGCCTCCAACGCACTCCTATAGGCTTTTTTAATACATTTATTCGGGTAACCTTTCTCCCTGAATTGTTGCCTCAATTTGTTTTTGCTTTAATTTTAATATTGCTGCTGTTTCTCTGTAGTCTGAGATATTGGCCAACTGGTATGTCACGTCTCAAAGAACTTGGATGAAAGCTGTTCCAGTGTAGGAGGGAGTTGGGGGCCGAGGGATTCCTAAAAAGAGTAGTACAAAGAGAACCATTATTAGTGATTGATATTGTCAGGTCTAGAAGTTTAGAGAGGTACCTCTGAACTCTGAAGTAAACCTCATTGATGTTCAGGATGGATAAAAAGTCAGTGAAATCTTCTGGGGTACCCTGCCACACAACCAACACATCATCGATGTAACAACACCATAAATAGATTTTCAAGGTATATTGTGTTAGAAACTCTGACTTCCACATTTGTTCTTCCCACCAGCCTAAATGGATATTGGAATACGATGGTTCTGGGTTGGTGGTAGATCATATTGCAAAATAGGAAGTATTTGTGTGACAGGATAAACCCCGGAAGTCTCAACAGAAAAGTTGTGTGTGTTTGATAATCAGTTCCCCTCTGGCTAACAAAGTAATTGCCAGTAAAGGAGGAGACTATATTTAAAAGAAGAAAAACTACCACAAGAGGACATAGTCTTAAATTAGAGGGACAAAGGTTTAAAAATAATATCAGGAAGTATTACTTTACTGAGATGGTAGTGGATGCATGGAATAGCCTTCCAGCTGAAGTGGTAGAGGTTAACACAGTTAAGGAGTTTAAGCATGCGTGGATAGGCATAAGACTATCCTAACTATAAGATAAGGCTAGGGACTAATGAAAGTATTTAGAAAATTGGGCAGACTAGATGGGCCGAATGGTTCTTATCTGCCGTCACATTCTATGTTTCTATGTTTCTATGTTTCTATGTGTAACCCTCTATCATTCAGGATGGAGGAGTACAGTGCTTTCACATCGAGACTACACAAATGAGCATTTGTAAGTACCTTAAGACCAGAGAGGAGGGTCAGAGCCTGTTTGGTGTCTTGGATGAGGGGAGACTTATTACAAATGGTCACAAGATTTTGTCAATATATAGATTTCCATTTTGGGTCATATTGTCTATCCCAGAATCCTGGCGGGTTTTCAAAGTTCTTGTGAAGGCAGTAGAAGGTTGCAATCCTAGGGTGACGATTTAAGATAAACTCATATTTGTCACAGGTTAGCAACCCCCCACTATGGCCCTCATCTAGAATTTTTTTATAGTACAACAAGAAATCATTAGTTTGGGTCTAAATTAAAGATACTGTATGAATTAGTATCACCAAGAACATCCTGAACCATCCTAAAATATCTATCTAAGCTCATCAAGACCACGTTACCCCCATTGTCAGCTGGTTTCACAATCAAGTTTTTATCTTCCCTCATGGATTTTAGTGCCAGTTATTCCTTCCTGGACAGATTGTTATTCAGATGAACTTAGAGGGATCTTATATTAATCTTCTCAATTTCACCTTTGACAGCTTCCAGGAACAATTCAATGTTCTGAAACTGCCGAAATTAGGAGTAAAGTGACTTTTTGACTTAAGATCAGTGAGATTTTTTAATGGTTGTCCATTGTTTTCATCCAAAACGGACATGAGCATTGTCAAGCATTCGTAGTCCATACTAGACAAATCCAAGGGCTCTGGCCCTCCTCTCAGTGTATAGTTGATGGTATTTGTGTAGAGCCAACTTGCGCACAAATAAATGTAGGTCCTTTGCCTACGTGAATTTGTTTAAAGTATGAGTGGGGACAAATGACATGCCTTTTTCAAGGACACTCAGATGAAATTCATCGAGTTGGCGTTCTGACACCCCCTCTGTTGCGGGTTTGATAACGGGTCCGAGGTGTCGGATAGTCCTTTGAGGGGCTTAGTGCTAAAAAATTAATTCCTTCTTTAAGGATAAAATTAACCATCTATAATTGTGTAATAAAGAAAACCATGGTCGGTTACGTATTTGTATTTATAATATTGTTCAAACTTCTTAATAAACATGTGCAATTCGTTTCGTTCTGGATGTATATTTGGACGAATTTCGTGAAAATCGGACATTCAGATGTTTACAAATGTCTGAAGTTCAAATTGCCGAATTGGCGAAGTTCCAAAGTGCTTTGGATTTCTGAAAAGTGGCTAAGGTTAGGGTTAGGCTTAGGGGGTTAGGGATTAGGGTTCGAATTAACGAATTGGCGAAGCGCCAAACCGAAACAAATGCTAGAGATGTGCATGGGCAAAAAATTTGATTTGGTAATACGGGTAAGAAAAATAATTTGACACTTCGGCAATTCGTCATTTGGCATATTGGTTCGGTTCGGCACTTCTGAAAATCGAGGCTTTGGAAATTCGGAACTTTGGCAATTAGGGACTTTGGCGATTCGTAACATCTGTAGGGCTCCTTAACCCTACCCCTACCCCAACCCCAACCCGACCCATAACCCTACCCTGAACCGTACCCTTACCCCTAACCCAATGCCTTACCCTAACCTTACCCATGTCATCATTCACGTAATTTTCCATCCCTCTCTTGTTTTGACACTTTTCAGAAATCCGAAGCACTTTGGCATTTCGGCACTTCAGCACTTCGGCAATTCGATTCGACATTTCCGAAATTCAGCACTTCGGGAATTCGGCAATTCGGCACTTTGGCACTTCAGACATTCAGAAGCATCCGAATGTCTAAATTGCCCGAAATTTGTCTGAATTTACATTTGGAAAAAAACAAATTGCACGTGTCTACCGAATGCCATTGGTCCGAATTGCCAAAGCAGACACATTTTTTACTTACCCGAATTTCTGAACCGAACCAAATTTTTTGCCCATGCACATCCCTACTTCCTAATACTGTTTGAAGAGACAGTATTATCTTAATCAGCTATCTCTTTATCTAGAGACTGTGATAATTTAGATGAGGATCTTGTGACTGTTGTCCCTTTTATTCTTATCTAACAAATGGCTATGATCGAATATCTGACTGACAAACATCTTTGGACCTTAATAATCATGCGAAGCATGTGTCAGTTGTCCTCTTTTCTTTTATTTTCTTTTATTATATTTTTTCAAAAAATAACTGCTACTGCTGGGTTTGAAGATTTGATTGATATATGTCTGTATATAGAACAAATAAGGGGATAGCAACACTTATACTCAGCCCTCCTAGTTGGGTCTAGTGATTGAATTTATCTATATACACTAATGACCAAATGTCTGATCTTTGTGGCCCCTCTGACGCCACTAGATCTCTATTGATGCCTTCCTCAACTTTATTTACATATCACTGTGATCTACTCTTCCTATCTGATTGATGCCTTCCTCAACTTTATTTACATATCACTGTGATCTACTCTTCCCTTTTTAGTGATTATTGCTATTGCAGGGTAACTGTGTAGATATACATATACACACATTTACAGTAACACTTACACCCGTTTTTCAATTTGCTTACGTTACTTATTCATGAATATATATTTATGACGAAATGCCCTATTTGACCTTACAGGGCTGTAATTCACCAAAACTCAATACGAAAGAGGGTGAAAGCGTCTGTAGGCGTGCTTCACCCATCAAAGGCTTACTATTGGTTAACCACCTAAAGGAGGAGGGCTTAACCTCCGTATATAATAGAGCTCATTCCAGACATACCTCTGCTCTTGACAAAGGCGTGTAGTAGCGCCGA